GAAACCTTGGTCTGTATGGGTTTGGGGACTTATGCAAACTTGGCTCGGAAGGCAGTGTCGCTGGGGCTTTTTCTGTTTGCTCTAGCTTCCTCGGATCTCCTTCTACTTCTTATTCTCCCTCGTCTACTATCTTCTTCTCCAAGTCTGGCATAATGACAATCACTGAGTTCACGTGCTCCGGTTGACTAGGCAACTTACTCTTGTTCATTTCAGTCTCGAGAACTCCGACCCGTGTGGCCAGTTGGCCTAACTGCGTCTCAATACGCTTGATGGAGGCCTCCTGATTGACACTTCGTTGCTCACTGCTGGCCACAAATTGAAGGATTTTGGCAATGTCGTCTTGGAGGTTCGAACTCGACCCTGGTTCCGGTCCCCTCTGTTGCTGCTGTTGTTGTGGCTAGTAGTTCGGACGGGGTAAAAAGCTGGGTCGAGGTTGCTGCTGCATGAAGTTCAGACGTGGTGGTTGAAGGGTGTTCGAGTTGTTCGACCATGAGAAAGCGGGGTGATTTCGCCATCCTAGATTGTATGTGTTGGAATATGGGTCATTGGCTGGCCGGTTCTGATATCCTTGTAAGGCGCTGGCATCCGCATACTGCTCCCCAGAATCCTGCCTGAATGATGAGGGGCATACTTCGGACCTATGCCCTGAGACTCCACACGCCCCGCATGTATCAACAGCGAAAGTATTAACCGGCTGGGATCCTCGTGCGGTAAGCAACCTCATCTGCTCAGTAAGCTCAGCTAGCTGTTGGGCCACCAAATCATTGCCTGTTCCGACCTCGTTCACCATTACTCTCCTCCCTTGAGTGCTCTTCTGTGACGAGTTAGTGCTCATTGTCTCAAATATTTCAAATATCTCCTCGGCTGTCCTTGCTCCGATATCACCTCCTGTCGCGTTGTCGACCATATACTGCAAGTTCTGGTGGATGGAATCATAGAAGCAGTTCATGAGTAGCCCCGGAGAGAGGCTGTGATGGGGGCATTGCCGTTGGAGATCCTTGAACCGCTCCCAAGCCTCATGAAGAGACTCATTCGGTAGTTGAGCAAATGAGACGATCTGTGACCGAAGCTCCTGGGTCTTTTGATGGGAGTAGAAACTCCCAATGAATTTCGAGTACACCTCGGTCCAAGTGGTTAGAGAACCAGGTGCAAGCGTCATGAACCAGGCCTTGGCCCGATCCTTCAGTGTCTCAGGAAAGCACCGCATCTTAAACTGCTCGTCATTAAGCTCACCGAGAGGGAAGGTGTTAAGGACATTGTAAAATTCTCGAATGAAGTTGAGTGGGTCCTCGCTTGGAAGCCCGTGGAATGCCGGCAGCTGATTGTAGTGAATCATTTTCAGCTCGTAGTTTCGTGCAGCGTCCGGCAAACGGATGCATGAAGTGACTGGCCCGATAACTGGCTGGGCCAAAGTTCGGAGGGTGTTACGGGGAGCTTGTTGTTGTCGTTCACCCATTTCTAGGTTGCTGCCTTCTGATGATTTTGGAGAATGTTCGTCTTACTCCTTAGGTTCCAAATTAATCTCCTCCAGTAGCTCTCTCAGGCTCTCGCTGAACGGTTTGTCAATAGGAGACAGTACGCGTCCACTTCTGGTACGCATACAAAGACAAAAGAAACCGTCACGAGCACCAGGTAGAAAAAGAAGATAAAAAGGAAATCAAAAGAAAACAAAGAACTAACACCTAACAAATAAAAAAGAAAAACAAGAGAAACACGAAAAATAAGTAAATAGGCGCACAATTAAAGTCCTAAACCTTCCCCGGCAATGGCGCCAATTTTGTTGTGTATATTTTTACCGGAGTAGAATCGAAAGATTCGTTCCCCGGGTCGTATCGCAAGGAAGGTTAGCCGGATTCAATTGTACGATTATTCGATCACGAGAACGAAAAGAAAAATTCCTAATCACTTTATTCAATAATTTTGGGGGTTTTAATTATCAGCTAAAGATTTAAAACTAAAGCAAACAAATTAAACAGCAAGTGAATAACCTCGAATGATTAAAGTGCTAGGGAATCGGGGATAATTGCTTTCGGTTCTAACACAACTACCGGCAATCAATTGCTCGGTTAAGGGACTTGAATCGTTTCTCGTCCAGAGGCTCACTCTCAATAACTCTTCGTAACAAGAGAGTGAACGTACACGATCAACTATCAATTCCAACAACCCATAGACAATACTATTACGAATAAGTCTACTCTAAACAAGCCTATATCGACCAACGTCTCCCCTCTCGGTTCTACACGTTGATTAATTAGGTTAGAAAGGTGATCAATCTACTAACCCTAG